AAATTAAAAGCTGGAGCCAACGCTTGTTTAGGCCTATCCCATAGTAGAGTGCATACAATATAAAATATAAGCTTATTATGTTTATTATTTACTTCGGCTATAACCTGATTGTTATGCATGCTCAAACTAATTATACAACCTCATGTAAGCAAATAAGAACTTAAGATTTACACGATCAAGTGCCAAAACTGTCAAAAATGTGCAGATTCACCCTTGAGGGAGACGAGTAGAGACTTAAAGAAATAAATGCAAACTGAATGAAACACTTTTTTCTCTTTTTTTCTTTTTTTTTTTTTTTTTTTTTTTTTTTTTTGGCCAGACTAGAAGTTGTGCATTGAGTTTAATCCCTGCCAGCCCTTTCCTTTAGGCGCACGAGAGCTCCCAACAAAAGGTGCCCACTACTATCGGCTATGCACAATTAACTAAAGCACCAGCATTATTCCATTATCATAAGAATGCTGTTTGCAATGGGGGGAGAACCTACGGGCATTCATGGATGTGACCAAGAGCTTTTATCTTCACAATTACATGCACGCTGCATTTATCATACCACCTAGTGACACATTTGGACACTTTGTGAAAGAATAATTTGTTTATGCAAGTAATATTTTTTTTTTCAAAGTTATTTAATGGGTCTTGTCATTTAAGGAAAGCATTGAGTAGGATAATAGAAACAACAGTTAGGCTACTTGTTTGTTTTTGTGAAATATTACTTTACCTGATCTCCAATAGTGAATTCAGAGAAATAATTACTGTATTGTCAATTTCATGGTTACATCCCTAACTCTGCACAAACTTTAGATTTTAACTATTAATGCATGATTCACCAATGTGACAAATATTTCTGTTGCCACATAGTTTAACATTCAAAGTATTTACAGTATATTTAAAATGCATCTCAGAACACATGGACTTGACATGAACTCCTTCTGCAGCTCATTAAAAGGTGCATTATGTAACTTTTCTGGTAAGGGATCACCTGAAATCTCCATATTCTAGCATTACTCTTATCCGTCTCATATTTATAGAATTTCAAGTGTTTTTATTGCTAAAGTAAGGTCGCCTCTCCACAGAAATGACCTGTAACTTGGTCTAGTGGCATGATTACTTGATTGTCTTCTCAAAAATAGATAAGTTTGATTCCATAGTGTAGAACAATCCAGACAAAGCTCTAGCTTCCATGGAGACAAGCAGGCAGCGGACACCTGAAAAAGTTACAAAGTGCACCTTTAAGACACTGATTTAATTGATTACATCTTGAGTGGTGGAGAGTGAAGAACAAACAACTGGAGGCTACAGATTTCTAATGATTGTATAAATTAACTTGAGGGCTGGTGGTTTGAACCGTTCCTGAAGTGTCAGTGTGCCCTTGGGCAAGACACTTGACACTGGCAGTGTGTAGGTATGAACAGGGGCAGAGGTGACTGTGTGTGGTGCTCCAACATTTCAAAGTTTGGCAGGTTTATTCTAACTGTGTTTTGTCCTTGAGCAAAACACTTGTGTCTCTAGATGCCGGTGTATGAAGTGTGTTTTGAGGGTGAATACGGGACCTTTTCAGTGTTGAAAATAGTACTGAAAATGTGTTCTCCAGTAAAATACATTTACATGGATACTTAATTAGAAGCACAAGTACTGCTGTCAAAATATCTCTTCAATAAAAGTTTAAAGTACACATGAAAAAAGTAGTCAGACACACAATATTAATAAAGTTAAAGGTGCATAGCGTAACATTTCTAGTAGACGGTCAGCCATCTGAATTCTCCATGGAAATGTTATTGCTTTATCTACATTACAATTCAGATCTGTGGAGACTTGTGCCTATTTTGTGATAGGTGAGAACTGTGTTAGCTTTGAGCAAGAGAAACACCCTAATGAATGGACAGATGATAGATGGATATGTCATACGATGGAACAGTCCAGGCAAAGCAATACCATCTCCATGGAAACAAGTAGGTGGCAGACCCTTCACCAGAAAAGTTGCACAGTGCACCTTTAAGTTGTTTTAAACCACAATTGGCATATTCTGTGAGCTCTGGCCAATCAGAGCGTGCTTTGAGGTGCTGCTGTGTGTCTGAAGGTACAGAGAGGAGGAGAGACAGAGGTGAGACAGCCATGTTTTGAGATAACTGATACTTCTACTATACTCTGTAACTCAGATTATTTTAAATGTAGCTATGATTACAATTTGTAGTTAGTATTTGTAATTTTTTTTACTTTCTATCACTGGCTTTGAAGCATATTTGTTGATTCCTATAGTTTTTATTTGACTTGTAAAACTGCTAATCAGCCTCTACTGAAAATGCTTGAAGTCAGAGCTCATGCAAATATGGTTTCAGAAGACAAATGCGTGTTGTAATTACTGCTCACAGCGGGCGAATGTGAATAAATGAACTCTAAATTAGATCATTTCAACAACAGGATGCAAAGCTCTCCATCTGACGTTTTGGTGAGTAGATTTGGGTCGTGCTAGAAGCAAATGACCACAAGATGTCAGTGTTGCTGGACATGTGTTTCTTAGTCATTTTTAGACCATTAAAATAGAAAAGCAAAGATGAAGCCAAGAGGGAGAGACAGCAGTGGAGGAGTCTGCTGGATGTCATGCGCAGATAAATCTAATTGGATGTAGAGTTTCATCTGGAGAGCAGTAACGGATGCTAAAGCCATCTGCACATGTAAACACGGCACACTACTACTACTTGGCATAGATGTCTGCACTGTATGTACACTGTATGTCAACAATGTCAGGTCTATCAGATGGCAGTTGGTCTCATATTTGAAAAAAACTTGTGTGTTTAAAGGTGCACTGTGGAACTTTTCTGGTGATGATTAGGCCATCTGCTTATCTCTATGGGGGTGTTATATTGTCTGAAATTTCCACAGTAATGTATTAAAGGGACCCTATGTAAGATTTTGAATATAAAATAACATGGCCTTTACTGGTAACACTTCTGATCCTGATCTATTCCTATTTACAAAAACACTGGACTTGATAGACAAGGTTTTGCATTATAATTTGGTGATTTTGTTCTCATGACCTCAAAGCGGAATGCGGCTCTCAGTTGGGTTGCCAGTTTCAATGCTTAAAGATAGTCGATTTAAACCTAAAATGCCTCTCTCTGATCTGAATAGTCACTACCTAAACTGCAGCCAATCATCACTCTCATGCCTCTGCAGCTCTGTGTGTGAATTCTGGAGGTTCTGAGCTTTCACGAGACATGGTCTGTAAAAATATACTGACAGTAACAAAATCTCATATGTGTCTTCCATTTGCAGGTTAAGACACTAACAAACCAGGTTCAGCTGTGCTTGTAATACCATTTTAAAACTGTAAGAGCTCAACTGTTTGTAAAGATTTCATTACCTATTTGTTGCACTAACATCTCCATGGAGCAACAAGGAGTGGGCCAATGCTACACTAAAAAAGTTATGCAGTGGCCCTTTAGGTTGTCCGACTGTGACAGTGACAGTAGTGTGGTTTTCTTATCATTTTAAGGTTGATGGTTGAATTCTAGCTGACCAGTGCTGTCATCATGTACACAGATTAGATACTTCTTTGACACCTTCTTTGCCCAAGTATATGTTGTAGGTGAGTGAATGGTGGACGGTGAAGGCGCAAATGGCACACATTGACAGCTACATATCATCCAAGGACCACCGTAGTAGCAAAAATAACATCCACAATAAATATGAAAAGGAAAATGCTCAATACTTGATTTCAATACCACAATAATAATATATAAGTCCATTACAATACGATACAAGACAATGTCATTTTCAGCACAAAATACCTGTAGAGACTTACACCTTACCATGCTCTTATTCTGTTCTGATATTAATCAAAACCATGAAAAAAATGTCAGAAAATATGAAACCTTTTTGAGATTGTTTCTTTCAGTTTTGTTACTTCTGGAAATGAGTATTCAGTACTGGCTTTATTGATTAGTACACGAGTATCAGTTTCCTTGGCAATAAATTATGCAATGTAATCCACTTTAGGTGTCTTGAATTTTTCTGATTGTTTTTCAAAGTAACTTGACTGCAAACATTAAAATGAATATGAGCTCAGAATCTATATAGATTAGAACATCCCTTGCCTCTCTGCAGTCATAAGGACAGTTTTTTTTTAATGTACATGCACCCTGCCCTTTTACTGTTTTAAAAAGTTACTCATGATCCTGGGTTACCATTGCCTTAACCTGCAGACAGAGGACAGGACACATACATGTTTTTTTTATTTTTATGGACAGGCCATGGGTCATGTAAAAGCTCAGAACCTCCAGAGTTCCCTGCCTGAGCTGCAGAGGCTGCACTAGCTCTGAGTAATGACTGACTTTATGTGCAGGGGTTTGAAGTATTTCAGCATTGAAACTGGTGGCGACCCAGATGAGAGTTATGTGAGGCTCACTGTTTTTGGATATGTTTCTGGATTGGATAATCATTTTAACCAAAATACCAAATTATAACAAACAGCTTAGTCAATGTTTCTGTAATTAAGAATAACTCATTATTTATCCATTATAACTGTTATCAGTAAAAGCTGCTTTGAACATGTTTAACTTGTATCTGTTGACACTGAAAGGTCATGCTGATGAAATTTAAAATCAAAATTGATTCAACTGATTGACATGCTGTCCCTTAACTTTGTGTGGTCCTGTGTTTACCAATTACATATTTACTCCAACAGTTTGTTAGCAACTACAGTCCAGACTTTAGTCAAGTCACTGATTAAAATTCAGACCAGGACTGTAAAGACGATACCGACTCTCCACCAGTGCAAGACACAGGGAAAGAAAATCTAAAATACCATTAAAATGAATGATTACTTGTACCTCTTTTCAATGGATAAAGAATATACTTAAGACTTGTTCCTTTTTGCTGCCAGCTTTGATCATCTTCAGAGCAAAGCTGAGATTCTCAGGATATTCACTCTAAGCAAACCTTGAACAAAAAAGATGTTGTTTAAAAATGAAACAAAAAGAAAAATTACAAAAAACACAAAGTCAACTTGAAATCTTTTAATAAATGTCTGAATATTTTACAGCAAATGTTCACTTGTTTGGGAAATTCATTTTGGTCCAACTGCTGTGCGGGACAACAGTTTGAACCACATAGGCAAAAACCAGCACAACTCTGAGGGGCTGTGTCGAAAGAATATACTTTTTCTCATTTACTGTAGTAGCTTGAAATACCTTTACAAATATATAGATAAAGATTTGTATATTTCAAATATTTATATAAATAGAACTTGATTAAAGATCAGGGCATTTATGACAAAGTGCAAAAAGGAAGGTTTTAGAAAATGTTAATACCTCCACAAAATTCAACAGCAACAACAACATACAACAGCTTTTAGACATTTAGCTGCGATAGGCTGTAACTTCCTATTCATATCAAACGTAATGTTAGGACATCCATTTGAAATACCATCATAAGACCCATAGAAAGGTAAAAACAAAGTACAAAGCAGAAATCTTTCTAAAAAATCAAGACAGCAAGCCTTAAACATAGCATTATAGGCACTAAACCAACAGAAATATAAACTAACAATTGTATTCGTTGGCCTTTATAGTTAATCCATGGCATATAGCAGCAGGCTAAGAAGACTGGTGATAACACAACATTGCCAGTAATGTAGTACAAGTAAGTATTTATACACTCACAATTATGCAAGTACCCAAGTAAACATGTACTGTATGTATCCACAGTTGAAGTCAGCTATAGGCCAGAAACAGATCTAAAACATTTAACACACCAATAAAGTGTCATCATGGGAAGCACTTAGAAAACATGGAAAAACACAACCCAATATGTACAATTCATTCATTATTCAACACTATTGAAAAGCAGTTGGCAAGTACCTGTGTAGCCTTCACAGCTTTATGCTACCGTAAGCCAATTTATACATGATTATCTTTTAAGTGAACACACAAATTTGTTTAAACACGGGGCAGATAAAAATAAATGTAAAAAAAGAACTTTTCATAAACCGTAAAAATATAAAATGTTATTACTGGGCAATTTAAACACTTGTTATATGTTGTAATCTTAAAGTTGCACTATGTAACTTTTTGGGTGGGGGTCTGTCACCTGCCTCTTTCTCTGGATATGTCATTGCTCTGACTGAAATGTTCTCTGACTGGAACAACTCTACCTTACATTTATTCAAGTACAGGTGGTTTTGTAGCTCAAAAAAATACCTAGAAAAACAAGCATTCTGACTGTGAGCTAGTTGCCTTTCCAAAGATCCGACCTGTAACTTGGTCTAGTTTGGTCTCCATGAAGATAGAAAGTGTAAATACTGTGAAACATTCCAGACAAAACAATAACTCCACAAAGAAAAGCATTTGCTGGACCCTCCACCAAAAAAGTTAGACAATGCACCTTTAAATGTCGATTAGCTTAAAAAGTTATGTCAATATAAAATCATATTGGCAGACATAGAAGTAGACTTGTGTGTCTTGGAAGTTTAGGACAGTTACAAAATAATTGTATAGCTCTGAACAGTGGAAGGATAAAGGGAAAACCACAGGCAAACAGGAATGTGGGGCCCTTACATGGGGGTCTGGTTTCTCAAAATTATATGACTGATATGTGTCATACCAAAGAATGTATCAGGAGAAGATGAATACAGCAACACAATCTTAACCCATCAATGTGTTTATAGTTATGTCAAGTTGTGGATCAATAATCAGATATTATTAATCCACATGTCAATAAATCTCATTATTGTTGAAACATAACATAATCTGCATTTCTATTTTAAAAATAAGTTATTGAAACTGGTGAGTGATTCATATTACCAGCTATTTAAATACATAAATTGCCATGTTATTTGACTTTGGTGTAGTTGGCAGAGGTATAATGAGGATGTCCACTACTATTGCTACTTAAGTATTTTTGCAGAGTAAAGTTTTTCCTACTCTATTCTTCTATTACTGGGAATCGATATTTGCTCCACATTGAATTGAACTGTTGACATGCATTGACTTTTCAATTACATTCTAATTTATAGACCTCTAAATGCCTGCCAAGGACTCTACAAACAGTCAAATAATGAAATTCACAAATCAAAATATTCTTGTACTTGTGAGGAACCAGACCAGAATATTAATATGACAAAATAAAAAAACTGGTATTAGGGCAAAGCTTGTCCCAGTAAAAGGTCAATTATTAATAAATACAAAAATAGAAACAGCTATGTACACATTTTAACAATATGAACTTTCATAATACTTTCAACATTTCTTCAAAATGCCATAGAAATAGTTTTTGCTCAAAATGTCTCAAACATCAATGGTCAGTTACAAAAACATAAATCAATGATAAATTATTTTACAAAATGACATCCATGACTGTATCATCGTTAGTTCACTTGGGATGCGAGTCCTGACACACGCACACACATTTGTGTTTTTCGCAGTAATGACTGAAGGGAATAAATCAACAATCTCCTTCCTATATTGAAATTGAGTGAGTCGGTAACAAAGACGTTATCTTCCCTTGTGTGGCACTGCTGGAGGCTGCTGTGGAGTCCATGATGAAAGAGAGAAAAAGAGACAGAGGCTGGAGAGAGCGCAAAAGAGAGAGCGAGAGGAATGGAGGGAGAGGGTGGGAGAGAGAGAGGGAGGAAGGCAGATGGAGCACGAGAGAGAAAAAGAGAAGGAGAAAGAGAAAGGGAGAGAGAGAAGAGAGGGAGGGAGAAAGAGAGAGCTGGAGAGAGAAAGAGAGGGAGGGAGAGTAGGAGTAAGTGCACTTTGACCACGGGCATGCTGGGTACACAAAGGCAAAGATAAGTTTGTATCTCTAGAGCTTGCCCTGTTTCTCTATACACAGATAAACAGGAGTTTCCAAAAAAGATAAAAAGAATGATGAGGGAGATAGAAAGAGAAGGAGAGAAATGGAGAAAGAGCTGGATAAAACTCAACCAAAGCTGCTTCCTTTAAATGAACGAGCAAAGGGACCAGGGGCTGTCAAAGTGGCATAGCTGCAGTTCACAGTCCTATCCTACAGTAGTTGTGTCAGAGGGTCCTTCAAATCAGCACACCATAAAAACAAATTATTTTCTTCTATAGCTGACCAGACACAGGAAGTGGTTGAAGTGGTACACAGACAACCAGAAACGCTCTGATTGCATTGGAGTTTTTGAGCAGTGGTGCCGAGGCTGCCTTAGTGTAAAAAGTCAAGGCAAATTCCCTTTCTACATGAGAGAGTTCTGAATGAGTGAACAACAGTTTTCCATGTTTGTATGTATGTATCCAAAAGGTATCCAGGCTAGAAGAACAGTTTACATGTGGTTGAAAATCCCAGAATGTTTATCTCTGTGAGTGAATCCATTTTTATTATGTAAAAAAAGAGACTTGAAACAGGATAGCGGTCCATTGGTTTTGCATGAGAGTGGTGAGTTCAAAGGTCAAACATTCAAACCAGGATGTCGATTTCTGTCAGTGATGCATCTTGACCTGAAAACACAGAGGGCACATGTCAAACAACTTGTATGTGGTAAATCACAACAGCTACAGGTTTTGTCTGTAAAATATTGATTTCTTTTTTACCTATTCTGTTGAGATTCAGACAATATTATGGCAATCGAACAGAACTGTGCTCAAATGTGTCGATTAAAGTTGTAGTTTGATTCAAGAATTGCATAAATGAATTAAAATTAACAATGAAAGACTTGCTTAGAAATAGAGCTAGTATAAATTCAAAATCAAGATCTCATTGTCCCCTTCACTCTCCTCATCCTCTCATTGCCCCCTCTCTCCTCATTCTTTCATCGTCCCCTTCACTCTCCTCATCCTCTCATCGTCCCCTCTCACTCTCCTCATCCTCTCATCGTCACCTTCACTCTCCTCATCCTCTCATCGTCCCCTTCACTCTCCTCATTATCTCATCGTCCCCTTCACTCTCCTCATCCTCTCATCGTCCCCTTCACTCTCCTCATCCTTTCCTCATCCTGTGATAATCCCCTTCACTCTCCTCATCCTCTCATCATCCCCTTCACTCTACTCATCTTCTCGTCATCCCCTTCACTCCCCTCATCCTCCCCGCAACCTCTCATTGTCCCCTTCATTCTCCTCATCCTCTCATCATCCCTCTCACTCTCCTCATCCTCTCATTGTGTCTGCACTCTCCTCATCGTCTCTTTGTCCCCTTCACTCTAATCATCATCATCGTCCCCTTCACTCTCCTCATCCTCTCATCGTCCCTCTCACTCTCTGATTAAAAACAAGTTTCGTGCACTAATGCTGTTCAGATGTTCATCTGTACCTGTGGATGAATTAAAGGTGACATATTACGCAAAATTAACTCTTGTGAGCTTTTACTGAAGGTCTATGGAGTTTAAAAACACAGTGGAGCAGTTCCTGTATTACCACTTGACATAACAAATGGAACAGTGTTTTCTGTTTGAGAGAAGAACACAGCCTAAAACATGCAGGGTTTATGTATTAAACATGTGTAAATTAAACAAAAAACAGCTCTATGTTGTGATGAGGAAAACAACATTTTAATATAGATCAGAAAACAGTGAAATATGGGCCCTTTAAGATCATAGCATCACACTGTAGATAGTCATAGCTTCAGTGGCATCATCTCTGGATAAACACGCTGGCATTTATCCTGATGCTTTTGCTCATCTGCATAGCTTCTACATTTTCATGAAACAGAAAAGCCAAGTGTGATTCAGTTGTGATTCACTCTGTAGAAGAACAATGACTCAAAACTGCATAAAGGCAAACAAACACACACACACGAACACACACACACGCAAATACACACACACAGACACATTCATTCATGCTCTAAGCTCCAGACCCAGATGCATCTCATTGTAAAATTCACCATGTTAGAACTCTGGACTGTCTCATGAATGCTACAGAAACAGATGAACTGTGTGAAGTTTGATGCTCAGTACTATGGCAAAGGTCACAACAGAGATGCCAAAAAGGGTCTTACAAATGTAAGTGAATAATAGAAGAGAAGGTGTAGAGGGGGCCGAATGCCATGCCCCTGAAAAATTATAAAACAATTAACAGATAGAACAAACTGAAAGATTACCTGTCTGGGAGACTCTGGTCTCAGAGCCAGTATCCCACTGTTGTCGTTGCCTTTCCCAAACACACTCTCTGGTTCTCCTGGGCGGCTCAGTTTGCTGGGCTTCCCTCTAAAGGAGCTGGGGCTCCTCCTCTTTCGATTTTCTGCCTTTCCTCCGTGGGCCAGGGGCACAGAGGGGGAGGGCAGGGGCTGGTATGGGGCAGTAGCTGCATCCTTGGTGGAGGTGTAGGGTGCACTGACGCCAGCATCACGACTGAAAGGTGAGACCAAATTTACAAGTTATATAAAGTTACAGAGTTGATGCAGTGCTACCCACAGCTAACAGAGTCATCATCTTGCTGTACTAAAGTTTCTGACCTTTCTCTGAGCAACTGTAGCATTTTATTTAGTGCAATCATGTCCAAACTATGGCCCAGGGACCAAATGCTGCCCTTGGGACAATTTACCAGAAGCAGTCTATTTTGCTGCAAGTGTAGAAAATTTCCATCATCATAAATTCAGCATCAAACATTACATTTTCATTCAAAGCCTGAATAAAGGTTAAATCTGTTAAACTGCACATATTTGAACAAATCACTGCACAAATGTGCCCCACCCCTCCCCTGGATTAGAGTAAAGAGTTTGAAAAGACCTTAAAGGGAGGCATAACTGTTTGGTGGATGGTCCGCCAAATGATTGTCTCAATGAAGATGTTATTGCTTTGGCTTGAATGTTCCTCAGTATGGCATTAAACTTAACTACTTACCTACTTTGTGAGTTGTGCGGCCCTTCAGATCTGGACATCCAGCCCTCTGCCCCGCTCCACAGCCCACCTCCCCCACCACCAAGCTCCTTTCGGCGGGCAGGAGTGGCCACAGTCCCCCCTGCGCCCTGTAACGTCGGATGGTGACTGCTACCATTCCTTTTGTGATTATCTACCGCTGGAAACAAGGAAGAAAATGAGTAGAAAGTAGAGTTTTTCCTCTTCTTAGATCCCACTAAAGAGTCCTCCGTCACTTTCGATTGGCGGCTTGATTTATGCGTGCCATTGCCTGCTTTGCCCAGTGCAGTCTGCGAGTGAGAAAGTGGGGCATCCCGGATATTAAAGACCCCCGTTGTCTGGGGGAAGGTTGAAGTGTAGGAGTTTGATGGAGGTGTGGAGACAGGAGAGCTGCCGGAGAGGGGGGACGGAGGGTACGGCTGCTGAGACGAAGAGGAGGAGGAGGAAGAGGAGGGAGTCTGAAGGCTCTCTGCTGCAAGAGGCACCTTCCTGTGAGAGAGAAAGGAAAGATCATCAACAAAGGCTGTTAAATAAAATAAATAAACACAACTTTGATTATTTGATTTGTATGAATTTTGAGTTTAAGCCAAAATAAACAAAACAAGCAGATGAGATGATAAAAGCCATCACCCGTCAATGGTATATGGAGGATCCACCTACAATTAACAATTGGAGGGACATTTTTGAAGAAACTGACATTCTGGAGAAACTGAAATATACTATAAGGTTGCAACAAGCAAAATTGCTGGGAAAAGTGGACTACTCATTTGAATGACTACTGACCATTTGTTCTTTATACTTGTTTGTTTTGTTATACTCTATAATAGTGTGAAGCAATAAAATACAAGTAAAAGAAGATAAAAAAAATTATATAAAATCCTTATTTATGAAACAATAATATATACATAACCTATATACAGAATAAGCACAGGTAGCACTTGATAAGGCGAAAGAAGAATAAGCCAAAAGATCATTTGTATGGTTGGTTCCATTGACAATCCCACCTCACTAACCTGTATCAATTAATAATAAAACAATTGCCAGCAAATAGGAGATGCAAATAATAATTTAACCTTGTAATCAAACTGCTTTTATTCCACAGATACAATGTACCGGTGAACACAGGTCTTTGTGTCTTGCTTGTTTTGTATTGTGCACAGCAGACCATTTTGCCAGTTTACTCTCATAAAAGAGATTCAGATCCAAATGGGTCTAATCTGATAAAATACTGCAGATAGTAAACTATTTGAAGTAAACAGATGAGGGAGTTTTTTATTATTATTTCAGAAATAACAATGCTCTTGTAAGAGGAAATGTTTAAAATCCCAGTCAGCAGCTGGTGCTTTTATCCCAAAAGTGAAATAAACAAAACAGGAAGCAAAATGATACATGGGATATTATATTTTAGCACCATATGAATGTGATCCATGTGTAACCATGTTAACCAAGCAAGCTCTGAAATGTGACCTAAAAGCTTAAAGTTGTATTTTTGTTGTTGTCTCTGATTACATTCTTTATTAACCTGTTCCAAATGTGTAAAGTTCAAAGTACCTCCACATCTGTGAGTTGAGATGTTTTTCCACCATATTCTGCAGAGCGAGCCTCATCCTATCCCATCGCCGATCAAACACATAGTGGCCCCGTCCCATTAGACGACTGTTGAATATGCACAACTGGAAAGAACAAAAACATACATGCTTCAAGAAGAATCCCATCTACTTACAATAGTGTGATGATCTCTAATCTTGGACATAATCTTCCTTTTCTAAAATGTAAAACATTGGTACACAGTGTAACTTTGTCGAGGAACAACGATAACAGACCCTCCATCACAAAGCACATGACATCACCTGGCCAAATTGAGGCTCAGACCTATGCTATTATCAAATCTAGTCCCATTAAGGAACCATGTTTTTCTTCTTTTTCAGCAATAAAAACTAGCAGAAAAGCAAATGAATAAATGCCAAAGTAGATACTAGTGCTGTCAAGTGATTAAAAAAATTGAGAGATTAATTATGATCTGTAATTAATTAATCTAATTAATCGCTTTTTTAATCACACCTAAAAATTGCTGAGAAAAGCCTACAACTTGAGGTAATATCGTTTGAATTAATTATTACATTATTTTCATACTATCATTAACGTTTTTATATAAGTATCATTATTATTACTGTTACTAATCTGCATAAATAAACTCAACTTTACACCATATAAACCATCACCACTCCAGAGCCACATCAGCCCGTTTGACATTATAATGTGTTTAATGCAGCTCTGCACAAGTCTTACAGAAATTAAACTTAAAACCGCGTGGCTAATTTGCATAAACTAAGGGGAGAAAAAAAAAAAAAAAAAAAAAACGCTCTTCTGCGCTGATGCAGTTTAGCTTCTACTAAAGGACACGACTCAGTGGAATATAGATGTTCTCTCTGTGACAGAGGGATGTTGATGGTGAAGGTGAGTCTGGTCTGTGTCTATGTCTGTGTCGCGATGTTTTCAGAGATCATAGGTGTGCAGGTTTATCGCAAATGCAGGCGAGAACGGCAATGAGAATTAGGCTACAACTGTTTGTGGGAGCGAGCAGAACAGGACTGCACAGTGTGGCACTGTGTCCTAACAACACATAAAAACAGATTTTATAATAAGGCAACTTGCATACAGAAACAGTAAAGTTAGAGATTAAAAATGAGATTAATGCAATTAAAAAACATAACACGCTAAATATGACTGAATTTTACACCCCTAGTAGATACATTACAATTAATATCATACTGTGGAATACCCCTGGGAAAACAATAACATTTCCAAGATTAGTCAGGCCCACCCTTCCAGGAAAGTTACATAGTGCAGCTTTAAATTCTACAATATTTGACTAATACTGTACTAAAAAATGTCTGTACAAGTGTTCAAATATGAGATAAAACAAAATTATCCTGTACCCCCAGTGGTTGAGGGTGGTGACTGGAGAAGTGAAGGGCCGCTCTGTCAGTGTCCTCTGGTGATTCCGCGTCTCCCTCGTCACTGGAGAGTCGACCTCCCTCTCCGGCTGAAGACGTCCAGCCTGAGGGGGACGGCTCTGGGTGTGGGGCAGAGGGAGGGGTGGGAGCCGGAGGCAGAGGGGTGGAGGAGGAGGAGGAAGAGGCAGTGGGACCTGGAGCCCTGGGTCAAATGTGAAAATAGGTTAACAGTGACACATTGGATACATGGGAAATCATGCAGTGCTCAGTACATTATAAAACACACAAACAAAATATATATGTGTAATTTATTATAACAAAATAAAACTCTGTGTATTTTCATGTTTTAAGTTGCAGTAGAGTCCAAGTTTGAGAGTTCAGAAATCGGTGAAAAATGTGTTGTGTTCAAGGTTTGTCAACTTTACACAAGGACAATAAAAATGTGTAATTTTATTTTATTGCTGTAGATTGTTCTTATGAATGCAAATTAGCTATAACCTTGAATATAGCAAGTTCAGATTACTTCTTGCTACACATCTGGCTTACAGCATCCCCTTGTGGAAAGAGATAGAATGAACAGTCATTAGCAGGAAGATAAAAAGTTAAGTATCATTTTAATGACGTCTAACGAGGTATTTTTACTATGTGTATTGTATTGGAGTATACAGTAGGAGTGTTGATTGTAATCTGTAATGTGATGATCCCATATGATACTACATTTGAACGTATAGTCCCTTAATCAAAAAAAAACTTGAATAAATATGAATACACATTTAGCAATCCACAAAAATAAAGTTGCACATAGCTAGTTTATATTTAAAGAGACATGCTATTTAATGGGCCCATATTACACTATTTTCTGATTTATGTTATAATGCTGTTTCCTCATCAAAAACATACTTGGAGTTGTGTTTCATTCACTCATGCTTAACACACAAACCCTTCGTATTTAGGCTCGGAGTTCTCTGAAACAGAAAACACTCTGTTCCACCTTTTTAGGCCTGGAATTGCCAGTTTTTACAGAAAGGCAGCTGTTCGTTCAAAAACTACTGCCTCATGACATCACGAGGTGGAACAGAGCATTTTGAGCTTTGGAAACGTAGTCTAATAATAAAGAATTACTCAAAATGTGTGAATGAAACATAACACAACCTCCTGTATGTATTTGTTGAGGAAACAACATTGTAACATGGCTTAAAGCTCACAGGTGTACATTTTCTGCAATATAGGACCTTTCAAATACTCAAAACAGTTTTTCTATAATAAGTACTCTCAATTTTAATACCTGGGTATGTGAGCATTGGCCAGCCGTAGCTTTAGGGTGGATAGTGGTCGTCCGTTGGGGCAGTGAGCCTTGCTGGGGCTCTGATGTGAGGAGAGACTCTTGTTCAAACTTTGCTCTTTCCGCTCTTGGGCTACATCCCTCTCTCTTTCTCTCTCTTTTTCCCTCTCTTTCAGTCCCTCTTTCTCCTTCGCGTTGCTCTTGTGTTCAGCCAACAGTACGTCAAAATGCTTCCTTCTTCCTTGGACGGCCCGGCGTTGGGTTAAGGAGTGAGACTGGAGGAAAAATGCAGAAAAGAGGTCAGTAGCAGATTCCCAGTTGTGTTTGTGTGAGCTATTAACCTATGAGGAGTGAAGGGAAGAATATTTTGATAATATTTTTAGTTACAGAATACTGAATAGTGGAGAGTCTGTTTCCTGATGTGTCCATGGAAATGTTATTGCTAACACATGTCTAAAATGTTCCACAGTATAGGAAAAAAAAAACTATCAAGGGGGACGTTACAGCAGTACGCTACATTACAAATCAGATCTGTGGCGAGTCGTCCCTATTCACAGAAGGAATTATTGTATTTTTGAGCAACAGAAACACCCATAATAAAGAAATGCAAGATGAATAGGTTTAATGTTTTACCAAGGAAAATTCCAAGCAAAGCAATAACATCTCTACGGAGACAAGCAGATAGCGGAACCTCCACCAAAAAAGTTGCACAGTGCACCTTTAAAATGTATTTTGTAACGTAGTGCTGGATATTTTAAATTATAATTTTTTTATTGATTTATTTCGGTCACAGGTATAATCTGACATTATTTCACAGACAGTCATATTTAACATACACAGACGAAAAAGGTGTAGCGAAGCTTGAGCTTATTATGTCTACACTTTCTGAATACTTAGAATACTTTAACATAGAGCTGCATATACATTAAAGTATAAAGACAAAAAGTAGTATCAAAAACAGCTTTATATTTTTGTTTCATCCTTTGTTACACAATTCCTATCACTCATTGCTTGAGGAAAAACTACACAACACTGATTATGTGCAGCCTGAAGCCTAAATTGTGTGAGCAATTACTGCCATGTATTAATTTGATTTTAGAAAAGTAACTATATTCCTAATACCACTAAATGAAAGAGTAAGTGTACAAGAAACTGTCAAAATTGGTATTCTGAATAAGTATTCTCAGTTCTTTAGTCACTTCCCAACACTGCCTATGAGACATAAGGCTACATTTTGTTAGTGAACAGTATTGATCTAGGCAGAAGACAGTGATGATGTGTATTTGTGTGAATTTTGGATACAGAGGCCTTGGTGCAGTCCAGAGTCCATTCGGGACATAATTATTGCCTCCCATCTCCCACCAGACAAACAGGTAAATATTGGTTTGCATGGCTCAGCTCTTTGCCCTTCCGACTATTTTGGGAAGGTAACCAGTCCACAAACATTTGAAGTTGGGGTAATAGTTTGAATGCCAGCTCCCTTTAGTGTTGCCACGGTAAATAATGTGCCTTCATATCCTCCGCATCCTTTTCTTCAGCATCAACAAACTGTTTTCACTGCGTCTGATAATGGTCTTTCACGAGGCCTCTGTCTGGGAACTCACAGTACCATCATTCAACACAGCACATTAGCAACAGAAGCAGAACAAAAAAATAATAATACCACATATTTTTGGGGAATGCGCAGGTAATGATTAGAGTTGTCAGTAAAAAATAATACGAAACTAATACTACAATAATAATAATAATAATAATAATAATAATAATAATAATAATACAATACCAATCAATACTAAAACTACAATTAAAGATTCTCACTGAGCAATTATCGACTCGGAAAATAATCACATAAACAGGACAATTTGGACCTCTCATTCATTTTTCTTTTGTTTTTAACTACCTTCTGCATTTTATATACATACAGAAGATTAACGCCAATTATCAGACATCAGCAATTATATAGCAAAGAAAAAAAGGAAACAACTCTTTTAATTATACTTTATGTTAAAATCATTAAACTTTTTTTCTTCAGTTTCTTCAGTACATAATTCCATAATTTCATATATGATTCCTTCCATGTGTACTGTATAAAATGTAGACAGTAGTTAAAAACAAAAACAAAACACTGAATTAGAGGGTGTGTTCAAACCTTTGACTGGTAGTCTATATCTGAACTATAATAAGACAAGATGGTCAATTTTATAAACTACTATTATTTTGTGTTGTATAATTATATTCTATTATGCAGTAAGTGTAAGTGTGTATTTTCATTGTGCTATCGAAATGTAAATTGGTTTTGAATTTTAGCATCGTGACACATTGTCAGTATTGGCAATAACATTTTTCTAATCCTTTAAAACTGCTAAAATATCTTTATAAAGGTCTTGGTCAAGGTTACAGTTTTAGACACAGAAAAAGAATGTATTCTAAAATTACCTTCAAAAAGGACCAGAAATATCAACTTCTCAGTGTCTTTGATTGCAGATTCTTCTTTATTTTAGGGATGCATTGAGCCAGCTTTTCATTTACGAAACTGATTACGATACTATGGCTTTAAGTATACGATATCAACCAATACCAGTCCAGAGAGTGAAAAGAGTACTGATTTCCTTTAAACAAAATCAAATAAGACAAAACTGATCAAAATGTTTTTATGTAGCTGTTATTATCTATAACTACAGAACAGCTTTGTATAAATGAAAATTCAAACATTGAGAGAGTTTCTGGGCCGACTATGACCAGTAAATAGTCTTATTTAATCAATGTCTGTATCAAACCAGGGTATCGGCTGAAGCAATATTTGAAAGCTGATATCTGATCCTGCAAATGTTTCAGTATCGGCTGCCAATATCCTATAACAGTATCGAATATGTGCTTCCCTATTCAAAACAACTTTCAGACGATACATGGCCCACCTTTAATATATACTGCCATTTATTTTTTTCATCATAAGAACCTCAATCTAGACACATAACTCTACCACAAAACCTTCAACTGACCCTTTGGTGTATCATCCATAATCTGATCCTGTACAGTCTGAGACGATGACTGATAAGAAAATAAATGCTGTAGTTTGTCAATGGTGATTCAACTGGCTCATGTGACCCTCTCCTTCTTCTCTGATGTCCGCTAACTAGGAGATTTTCAGTCTTTCTCTAGTTCTCCTCGTAGAAGCATCCTTTATCCCTTATATTTACTACCACTTCTCTGTACGTTCACAAACCTTGCTGGCCTTGTAGTAGCTCTTATCTTTCAACATGATGCGCACCTCAGATGTGCTCATTCATAATATACAACAAACCCTGATAGAAAATAGATACTACAGCCTGCCACGGTAAATCATTAACCTCCATCATTCAATGTAATGCCCTTATCTACACCCATAAATCTTCTCTTTGGTCTATCTCAAGACTAGCGTTGTCACTACATCGAGATGCTAAACTTGATTTTGCAGCAGATGGAAAGGCTTGATTAAAAAAAAAAAAAAAAAAAAAACTACTGCCTTGTAGACTTCTACTGGTTCAAATATGGACCAAGATCATTGTAAAATTATTCAGGAAATACCCAACTTTGTCCTGTTTATGTGATTTTTTTTTTGGTATTGGTTCAAATAAGTGTCAAGTTTGGCATTAGTCTAAGCATCAATTTAAGGTACAGTTTGTAACTTTCTGGAGGCAGCATGTCATCAGCATCGGCCTGTCACGATCATTACTATATCGACTTATTGTTCAATACAGGACAGATGGAACAATCATTTTTGGGTCAGTATTTCTCTTATTTTTCTGTACCATGGTGAGATTTGAGCTGAAGAGGGCAAAATAAGTAGCTTCTTTGACTCATTACTAATACAAGCTAAAGTGTTACATTAAAAACATGCCATGCAATAAATAAATAGCTCAAAGGCACATTTTGAAAGATTTTTACTATAATTAATTAGTTTCAAAATGGTCATACAGTGCACTTCATTAATTGTTAGGGTGACAGCTCTACATCTGCACAATTCCATGGAAATACAAAGTTAAAGCCACGTTATTCATGGAGATAGAGACGTTATATGCCATACTGTGGAATATTATAGCTAAAGCCAAAACATTTCCATGGAAAAAAGCAGGAGTCAAGATTCAGGTTTGTGGAGGTACAAGCCTGCTCACAGTAAGGATGCAGTTTTTTTTTTTTTTATGTTTTTCAGCGCAATAAACACAACCAAAATGAATAAAACATGCTTTTGTTTCAGTTTATTTTTTGGTTAAAAAGTTACTCTGGCTTTAAGTTTCAGTTCTACCAATATTTTTTAAACTTTCATTTCAGACTCAGAATTCTCCACACAAACACTTATCTTGAATTGTCTATGTGATGCACTAATTCCTCATCAGTAAAAACATTGACTGATAAACAAACTGCCATGCCAAGAACAAGAAACCTCCTCTTCACTTGCATCTAATTACTAACTTCCCAGAGATTAGGAAACTGCGCTAGGAAGTAATTAAAGAGCAGAATTGAGGAGAATATTACTGCTCAAAGATGCTGCGGCCTTTTCCAGCATCTATAATTACCTCATCAAGCCAAGTGCAGACACTGTATTAGTTTAGCCTGGCTACCCTGTATTAACCAAGAGACAGGAGGCACACGCCATCCACAAAGAGACAGAAGCAAACGCTCTTTAACTGAAATGTCTAACAAACGTGATTACAAAAGACGGTTCATCAGACACTAGCAACAGTAGTAACAGTTTTTTTTTTTTTCCACCCCAAGTGTGATACTCTGCAGTGACCAGTGTTGTGCAAGTTCACACTTTTCATGAACTAGTTCAAAGTTCAGTTCACACTTGTTCAAAGTGAATAGTTCACGTTCATAGTTCACAATTTTTATTTTGAACTAGTTCAAAGTTCAGTTCATTTTATATTTAGATGAGATCTGTAAATGAAAGGCTGCCTTTATTTTTCAAACTGACTTCTAGTTTACAACAACTTTACAAGATACACTGTTGGACAAGTGACTTTAAAACTGTAATGTGTTATTTATGACTTGTTACTGTCATTTCAAAGTCATTTGTTACATTACAATATTACTGTTTTTAAAATGTAAAACATTACACGACTATTGCAGCACTTTTAATTTACTCTCACCAAAAGAACTGTTAAGATGCTGAACTTTTGCGCCGTATATGGACTGAACCAGGACTGAACCAGGACTAAACCAGGACTAAACCAGGTCTAAACCAGGACTAAACCAGAACTGAACCAGGTCCAAACCAGGACTAAACCAGGTCTAAACCAGGACTAAACCAGAACTGAACCAGGTCTAAACCAGGACTAAACCAGAACTGAACCAGGTCTAAACCAGGACTAAACCAGGTCTAAACCAGGTCTAAACTAGGACTAAACCAGCACTAAACCAGAACTGAACCAGGACTGAACCAGGTCTAAACCAGGAATAAACCAAGACTAAACCAGGACTGAACCAGAATTGAACCAGGTCTAAACCAGGATTGAACCAGGACTGAACCAGGACTGAACCAGGTCTAAACCAGAACTGAACCAGGACTAAACCAGGACTAAAACAAGACTAAACCAGGACCAAACCAGGACTAATCCTGGACTAGAACTTGGAATCTAGGACCGCCCCTGAGAGAACCCCGAGTGCGATCGGGCGTCAGCTGCGTTTATCTCGGTGGAGCGCGGACTTCTGTGTCGGTCCTTTCGCTCAGGATCACGGTTTACGCGGGCGCACCTCCGGCGTTTCACCGCTGCTGATATCGCGGTGATTTTAGCAAATTTGTATGAAGAAAAATGAAAAACCCACCATTTCAATCCAGGTTAAAAAAGCATTGTGACGCGCGTTACTGACATATGTACCAAGTAAAATAATAGCACGTCCTGTGCGTGTAGATTTCAGAAAATAGGATCCATTCTATTTTTTGACGCTCTACACGAGCGTAGGCACGTATCTCCGTCAAAATACACAGAGAGCATGTATCTATTGTTGTATTGGTGCATTTACCATCAGCACATTGTGCTCCCTGGGCAGTTGTGTATCATGTGAAAGAGCCCAGATCCACATAGACTGTTAATTAGTGCTTTGAAATTTACTTTTGAAATCCTTGCGTTTGCCGTGGTCAGCCTGTACAGAAGGTAAATACAAGCAGCTAAACGCGCCCAGTCAAGTTTGATTGACTTCCCATTGAGAGACACAAGAGCCCGTACGTTCCGCTAAAGCTGCCGGTGGAGTCGCCTTCGCGTTGACACGCGGCTGTGGTTTCGCGAGGTGAAGTGCAAGCAGATCGTCACTTGTCAGGTGAAAACAAATTCCGACGTTTAACTGAACCCCAACAGTGACGTACGTCGTTCATCACACATAATTTGAACAAATTCACGTTCAAGTTCTTGATTTACAAAAGTGTTGCGTTCAGTTCAAAGTTCACTGAAAAATGAACGTGTTCAATGAACGCGTTCTTTTGAACTCGTTCATGCACAGTGTTGGGAGTAACGCGTTATAAAAGTAACGAATTACAGTAATGCGTTACTTTTTGCTGTAACGCAGTAATGTAAGGCATTACAGGGGAAAAAATAGTAATATTTTACTCGGTACAAATGTGAGTAACGCGCGTTACAGTGTTTTTTTTAACCTGGATTGAAGTGGTGGGTTTTTCTTCATACAAATTCGCTAAAATCACCTCAATATCAGCAGCGGTGAAACGCTGGAGATGCGCCCTCATAGACCTTCAGGTAACCGCGGGCGAAAGGACTGACAAAGAACTCCACGCTGTTTAGACCTGGTTTAGACCTGGGTCAGTTCTGGTTTAGACCTGGTTTAGACCTGGGTCAGTTCTGGTTTAGACCTGGTTTACACTCGTCCCTCCCTCTATCGCAGTTCACATTTCGCTGTCTCGCTGATTTTTTTATTTTTTTTTTATTTTTGTGCAATTTTGTATGCCCTGTTTTTTTACATTGTATGAATGCGTATTGCGTTCCTCCCGCTGCGTCCTGACTGGCCAAGGGACTCCTGTCTCCTGTACAGTACAGAATGTGTTCAGCTGCCAAATTTAAATACATGTTCAATCTGTATCAGTGTGATTCTGAAGTGCTGTATGGTTGCAAGTTTTCTCCCCGACGAAACCCACAACGTCGACGAAACGTTCTGCACCGACAAAGGCTCCTGCGCTCGCACCCAAAAGGCAGAGGAAGATGCAAACCATCACACAAAAAGTTGGACTTCTGGACACGCTGAAGGAAGGTAGAAGTTACTCGCTGTAACAGACTCTTGCACCGGCTCGGGTACCTGGTTGCTTCAGCTCCCTGAGTCTTAGAGGTCCTGGGTTTCGAGACCTGTTTAGCCTGTTTAGTCCTGGTTTAGTCCTGGTTCAGTCCATATACAGCGCAAAAGTTATTTTGGTGAGAGTAACTTAAAGTAATGCAATAGTAATGTAATGCCTTACATTTTAAATGCAGTAATATTGTAATGTAACGAATTACTTTGAAATGACAGTAATAGGTAATAAATAACGCATTACAGTTTCAAAGTAACTTGCCCAACAGTGTTCATGCACAACACTGGCAGTGACATCATGCTGGAGCTGTTCTACATCTATCTCTATTGTGGATTATTCAGCAGTTACCATGGTGACACAATATACACATTTGCAAACACTGTCAAAAAAGTTTTAAAACTCATTCAAGGCCCTGTTCAACAAAAAAAGGGAGAGTGACTAACGAAAAAACTGTTGGTTAACGGTAGATATCTTGTGACTATAATTGTACGTCTGAGAGACTTTTCTTAAGCACACAAATCATCTCATCTGTTGGTCAGAGCGTTTAAAAATAAAGCCCAGATTAAAGTCTAACGTGCATCAAATAGAGCAGTGCTTAAAGTTAGCATCACACCCTCCGAAGCTGTTGATGACATCAGCTGCAAAGTATGAATACACAATTCATAGTAAAGGCAATTGACCATACTCATAATTAAAGCTTTGTTTTGAAAATGTAATATTATAAATGACTGAACTCAATACCTTGATAAATATAATGTGGTTAGGAGAAGAGTGATATGATGCTAAAAATCCAACTGATTCTAGTGATGACATTTTGCAGATGTCTTCATATTGTGATTGTGGTTGTGAATCTTCTCTTAAATGCAGCATATGCTCAAAGTCAGGTATTTTTCTCCAACCACTCCTTCAGCCTAAAACATTTTCAAAGTGACAGATGGATTTAAGCAATCATAGTGAGATATGAACTCCAAGAAGCAACACATACTTTCAATTATCTCCTAAAATTCCAAAATAGAAATCACAATCTAAGTTTTACAAAGTGCAAATGTAAGACACATAGCAGATGTGTAAAATATTATAATGTAGGGACATGACTCGGCAATCAGCACATTTTATCGTATTGTTTTACCTTGCAGGTCAGAGAGCGTGTGCAGGGCCGCTTCGTCTCAGGGTCTGGGACTCCACAGTGCTTATTTGGATCAAACACTCTTCCTACAAAAGCAAAAAGACAGTTTAAAAATGTGGTCCTGAGTTATTCAACCACTTGTGCACAGTCAGTTTCTGTGTCATGTTTGTAATTGAATGGTCCAAAACACAAATTATGTATGACTGAGAATAGAGCTAAAAAAAAATACAGGGCAAAAATTAAAAACTTGCCAAGCTAAAATTACTTCATAATTTCACATGACATTGAAATTATATAACAATGGAACAAGACTTTGCATACTTAAAATAGAAAAATACATCTTGTTACACAAAACGTAAGAACAATAACAGCCCTTTGCACTTAAAATACGAAAATAAATCTTATTTTTCTTTCAGTGTAGAAGGATAAAATAAACAAAAACAATGAAATGCTGTTTAGCAAAAGAATGTAAGATTCAGTATTTAGTAACACTGAGTCAAATAACGAGGGGAAACAATTTGAGTTATTCAACTTTTGAATCCTGTCACACAAATGTTCAATTGTAGTTTTATTGTTTTAGTTGTCTCAAACATCAAGAAACAAACTACAACTTTTTTTCCATATTCTGAATCCACCCGAGAACTGAGTCAAGTATGCGTCCTGTCGTCAGCAGGTTAGCGTAAACAGAGCCAGTGTCAGACAGCTATAATCTACTGCTGGCCTCTGCCATAATCCCTGTAATCTTTCTGTGTTTGCAGAATGAGACACCTCCCAAGGTTAAAGAGGATTCACCCGCTAATGTGCACCCAGAGCTGTCAAACTTCTCACTGTATTAGAACCACTTTGTAACTTGTTCTTCAAATTATACTTCATCCAAAAAGCAAGTGAACACAAACAAGGACTATAGCAAGTCTTCTTAACAGGGAAACTACTAAACTAAACTAAACTATTGAGTCTATAAATCTAGTCTTAATCAACATATGTGTAACGCATGTGTAAATATTGTTATTTTTATGGTAGCCCAGTGTAAAGTATTTCTATTCTGCATTAGGACAAAAATAAAATCCCTAACAGGCCAAGTGTTTGTCATCTAAATAACATTTTTGCACCCTTGTTTACTGAGCATAAGACATGTGTTACATTCTCCAGATAGCACATCGATTTTAAATTAGATGATTGCATTAGTCAACAATTTGTGCTTCATCCAGTTAGTCAGCAGCCCAATTAAACTTCAGATTCTGCTACAACTAGACAAGAATAAGACTGAGTGGGATAACTGCTTTAAATCACGCACCACTCAAGCATCATACTTCATCATACTGTACATATAATGAAACATAACCACTACAAACTACAAAATCAAACCAAAATTCAACAAGATCCCTAATGGCAATGCCTATACCTCATTTATAGATCAATATATTAAAGATAAACTATAACATTTCTGGAGGGGGTGCACCACTAGCTTCAATGTTCCACTTGTGGTCTCATCAGGCCACATTACAGGACAGATATGTGGAGAAGTGATCATGTATATTTTGTCATGGTATCTTTGACTACGAAAAAACGTGATTCAATAAATAAAACGTAGATTGATTTACGTCTAGTGGAGCATTCATGCCATACTGTGGAACATTTAAGGGAACGCATTATCACCAATACAAGTCATGTCCAGAAAAGCCATCTTTAATATAGTCATTATTGTTACAGGCTTACACATAACCACACATATTTAGAAAAAAAAAAGAAAATAAGAGAGACAAAAAGCCAAAGGGGGAAAGGACCAAGTCATGATGAAAGATGTAAAAGGAGGAAACAGCAGAAAATAAAAGGGAACTCTGTGAAAGTGAAGAGAGGAGGAGCGGGTCGAAACACAGGAGGTGCAGAGAAATCTCTCAAACAGACAATCTGCTTTTGGGCAGCGGGAGCTCATGACTAAGAGTGTGTAAATCAGAGAATGAGAGTGCAAAAGTGCAACGTATCAACAAACAGACGGCACACTCAGGAGGGAACTCAAAACGAAGAAAAACAAACATTCACAAATCAGGCTTTATGCCCCAAATAAGCCTTTTTCATACAAGTATTTGAATTTAGGCATATATTTAAACTAGGCCTGTCAGAATAATTACTATACAAATGAATCGATCAATGAGAGATAGGTGGAGCAACACTTCTCGGAGCATAGCGTGCATTTTCTATTTTCACACTATTTTCTAAGATGGTAAGGGACGAATAAGTAACTCTTGGTTAGCCTGATCTCATCAGATCTCAGAAGCTAAGCAGGGCTGGGCCTGGTTAGTACTTCAATGGGAGACCACTGGGAAAGTCAAGTGCCACAGTGAGGCGCCAGTGGTTGTGTTCTTAGGCAAGACATTTTACCCACACTGGCTAGTATGAAAGTGGAGTGAGTGTGAATGTTGGTGGTGGTCAGAGGGGCTGTTAGTGCAAATTGGCAGACTCGCTTCCGTCAATCTGTCCCAGAGCAGCTGTGGCTACTTTGGTAACTTACCATCGAGTGTGGACAGAATGAATAATACACCAAATTGTAAAGCAATTGAGTGTCTAGAAAAGCACTACATAAGACTAATGCATTATTTATTTATTAATCATTAACCAACAAGTGTGTTATATGTGTTTTTTAAATTGCAGATTAATATTAATATCTTTCAAAGAGATTAATTAGATATTTATAGTCAATAGCCCTGTTTTCTCTCATACACATGGCATTTAAATTGTGTATTCTGACAAAGTTTATTCATTAAATGTCAAGTACTTCATATATAAATAAAAGTATTGGCCACCATGCTCTTGTCTTGATGGATGCTTTTTTTGGAAATTGGCACTGGGGTGTGCCCAACTATGGAGAGTTGAAAAAGTTTATGCCAAGTCAGTGTGAGGTCTCTGCTTTGCTTGGGACCAGTACAGGAAGTTCACTAGCTCAGTGAAGTAAGCTACACAAACTCCTGAGGTACTAGATCATAAATTATAATCACATATTTCTATGGAGTGTTCTCTATTCAGGGTTTTCAGCTTCCTGTTACAGGTGACATTTTGAGGACTTTTCACTATTCAGATATTAAGTTATATTTAGTTTTAAATTGCCAAGTACAATACCCATGGATATTGTTGTCACCAGACAGCACAATTAAATGAAATACACCCACAAACCTGAGAGCCTTTTGTGTGGCCTGGCTGCTGTAGTTTTGGTTCCATTTTGCTGCTTCCTTTCCAGTGTTGAGGATGAAGATGAGGGTAAAGCGCTACATCTTTGTGAAGGGGAGGGCGATGGGGAGGGCTTGCGGTCGGACTGGGAGGGAGAAGGGGTGGAGGAGGGTCTTCTGTCCAGGGGGGAGCGCACCGGGCTGGGACGACCATCCACAGAGGACGGGGAGGGGCTGGCGCGCGGTGTGGGGGGCCCGCTGCTAACCCTACCGTTCAGGAGTTTTTCGGATGAACGCTGGGAGGGAGGGGGGGTGAGAGAGGAGGGTTTGTGGACGGAGGGGGCGGAGTTGAGACGCATGTGGGACCCAGAGCTGGTCCGGCTCAGACAGGGCATCTTCTCCAGGCTGACCACCGGAAGAGACACACTGCACAGACACAGGGAATACATTGGATAAATGACCATATTATCAGTTTAGTTAGAGGTGCACTGTGTAACCTTTCTGTTGGGGTGTCTGCTATAAACTTGTCTCTATGAAGGAGTTATCATTTTGAAAATAATGTTCCAAAGTAAGGCATTAAACGTGTATTCTTGTATTTATTCAATTACGGGTGCACAAAAACCTTGAAAAGCAGCATTCTCACTTTGAGCAGGGTCACCTCTGGTCCCCACAGATCTGACCTGTAACTTGTAACCTGATTGCAATAGACATATCTCCATGGAGACAAGCAGGTGGCGAACCCTTGACCGGAAATTTAACATAGTGCACTTTGAAGTTTCTCTGCTAATAACCCCGTTGGTGTTACTAACGAGCAACAATGGACCAAGAATCGAAACAGTGGTCTAATTGTAAGATTGGTGGCTCAATTCCAGCTCTGACCAGTGAGCATTACATTGTGTCCTTTAGCAAGACACTTCACACACCTCATAATTATGTATTTATTGCGTAAGTGATTAATGGTGATTTCAGAGGCCGTGGGGAGAGGAGGATATAGTTTACTTCTACTGTGTATGGAATGAGTGAGTAGCGCAATAAATCAAGATAATCCAAACAGCAGTATAATTTAATTGTCAATTGCTTTGATGTTTATTGCCCTAATTTGTCATTGTCTAAAAACAACAGACAGGCTGCTGATTCATCCCCAACAGTATTATGGAGCAACCTGCTAAACAACTGCACTAAAATATGCTTAGAGGTCCTATATTACCTACAGCTGCCGTTTACCTTTTCTTCTTTAGAGACGGGTAATTACAGGCCTGAAATTATCCAAATGAAGGTGTATGGAGGTTAAAAAAACACAGTGAAGCATTTCCTGTATTACCACATGACCTCACAAGGTGGAACACAGTTTCTGTTTAAGAAAATAAGTAAAATAAGAAAATAAGTAAGTTAGAAAATAAGTAAATATGCAGATTTGTTTGTTTAACTTGTGTGAATGAAATGTAACACAACTCCAGGTATGTTTTTGATGAGGAAACAACATTAAAACATCAGAAAATAGAGTAATATGGGCCCTTTAATAGCAGGAGCCAACCAGCATACTGTCCTCACCATGTTTTGCTGCGGGCTCCCTTGGGTGGGTAGACGGCGAGCGGTGCCTTGTTGAAGCGTGAGTGCGGGTAATCTTTGGGCACCCGGAATGCCAGAGTATCGCCCGGGCTGGGGTTAACCGCCGGGGCCACTGCGGGGGTCTTGGGCTTCATCGGGACAAGGGGACCCCGAGACGGAACCGGGGAGCCATGGCGCTTTTCTGAAAATTAGACCAAAAAAAGTGTATTTTTAGATTCTGTGCCAGATGGAGGGGCAAGAGTCAGTTTTGAATATTGATTACACAGTACTTTCCACTGAAATGTCCAAAAGGTAAATTCACAAATGTTGAACCTGATCATTTCTATTAGTGACTGGGACCTAGAACTCGCAACCTTACAGCAATTTTAACAATATTAATTTTAGCTGCTAACCATCATTGGTCTATAGAAAGTTCTGAAACCCAGCAATACATTTAAAGAGGGGGTATTACACTTCTATGGGTTATTAATTCTAAACACATAATATATTTAGATCAGTGTTACGTTGATATGTAATAAATTTCAGTTTTGGGGTTTTTGACACTACACTCCCCTTGCTCTCTGTACTCACTCCCCCTTCAGACTGCCCTCAGACCTAATGAAACTACTGCAGATCACATCAGATTTGTGAAGTTGCAGTGTATTGTTTTGTTTGTTTGTTGTACTGTTTTTGAGTGTGAATGTCTATATTGATGGAAAATGGCTGCAAGAACTTGGATGATGCAGGCTTCTGTCTGAGCCTCACACAGGCCCATACTGCTAACCATAATGATGGTTCAAATAGTGCCCAGGACAGATCCCTAGATTACTCAAACATTCATGGATGACATAAAAGCTTGTCAGGCATGTTTTTAATGAGGGAACCACATTATAACATAGAAGAAAGCTCCAAAAGTCAAGTTTGTTTAACACCCCTTCTCTAAAAAGCATCTAAATCAACAGGTTATACAATCTCACTGGCAGAAATTTGTATCTAATATTTGCATTTCATTTACATCTGATTAACACCTGAGTCTAATAGTCAGTGATGCAGTGGGGTGTTTTCGCCCACTTGTTTTTGACTGTGCCAGATGGCCGTGTTGTAACACAAGACTGAAATGTAGTGCCAGAAAGCTTTCACAAATAGAATCCAGTATTTTCAAATCAATTGGGCATGCTATTCTCTAATTAACAACTTGCCTGACACCATGAGAAGTCTGTTACTACACAAGGGATAGTAAGGAGAGGTTTCTAAATATATTTTTGAAGAGCTCAGAACAAGATACAGGATCTCCATGGAAGCTGAGATTCACAAAAACAAACTTATTGGACTGAGTTACAAAACAGGAGGATAGAAGTAGGAAAGGAGAGAGGAGGAAAGACTTACGGTTCTTACTATGCATGTCTCTTTGTGGGGGGTGGGACGGAGAGGAGCAGGGGAGGTGGTCCGGGACTGACTGTTTCTGTTCACAGGGAAACTACACCCCAGCTACCTGAAGGAAAACACACAGGTCAACAAACAAAATAGGAAAAACACAACCTCAAATGAAGATTCAAATTCTCTAATTGCTGGTTGGGATAACACATCATTCTACACATCTATAATAGAGATGTGGTAATTTGGTGACTTGGTATCGGTAAATAAGCATGGTGCATTAAAGGGACATTACTACACAAAGTTGATTCTTGTGAGTTTTAAGCTATGTTATAATTTTTTACCTCCTCAAAAACATACTCGGAGATATGTTTTGTTTCATTCACACGCGATGTCAGGAAGTGGTAGTTTCAAGTTAACAGCTACCTTTTATGATAGTTAAGTAGACACAGAAATTTCCAGGGCTGAAATTGTCCAAGTGATTCTAGTGAAAGGGTATGGAGTTGAAAAACACAGTGGTGCACGCTTGTATTAACAAATGACATCACGAGGTGGAACAGAGTGTTTGAGAGAAGAACTCAGCCTAAATATACAGGGTTTGTGTGAATGAAACAAAACACAACTACAGGTGTATTTTGATGAAGAAACAACATTATAACAAAGAGCAGAAAACAGTGTAATATGGGTCCTTTAAATACACATGTAACTAATATTGTATATATTGTAAAATATTAGAAGCATGGCCACTCATTTTCATTCAAATAAACTTGTATCTGAGTGTTTAAAGTAGGGAAGCAAAATCACTGAAACAACCGAATCAAAATCATACTTGAGTTGGCACAATTATCAGATCAAAATGAAGCATGTTTCTTCTTGTGATTCTGTATTAGTTCACGAAATCATACTTCAGTCCTTTTTTAAAAGCTAGTAGTTTGACAATGTGTACTTATCTGACTTTTTAAACAGTCCTCATACTATTTTTTTATAAAATTTTATTGAATTTCTTACTAAATGTGTGCATTTCTGGCTGAAAAGAAATAAAAACAGTAGATAAATGTAGTAACAAATAGCCTTGACCTCTGTAAATGAGTGTTGTAGAGTCTAAACAGTCTGCTGCTGGGCTCTCCAACTGTGCATGTTTGCTTTGGAAGAGAGACATTAAAGAGCTGCAAATGACTGGGTGTGATAGAGAGCCATGTATTTTTGTATGAGTGACGGTCTGCAGCAGGTGTTTCATATGACAGTCATATGCAGCACATCTAATACATGGATCCTATAGTCTGCATTCTGTTCACTGGGGTCTTATGAATGCATGTTGCAGAGGACTGCACATCTATTTATAAATGTCCATGAGGAACAATCTATGAATCATCACAAAAAATGAATACAGAAAAAAAAACAACAGAGTATTATAACACGCAAAGCTCTGGACTGGACAAAACTGGGAAAATTTCTTTTTTGGTACCGGTACAGAACAATTGTTTTTAATAATTTACATAAATATTTATTACTATTTAAACAAAACTAGTAATTTATTTGAGCTGGAACTGCCTAGGAATTTTCTAAAACACTGTTTAAGAACCCAAGTAAGGCTGCAAAATGAATCAAAGTCCAAATGTGTAGATTGCATGGTGTTGTATCAGCTGCTGCTTTATGCTAAACACATCAAAAGTATTAGTACTATTAGCCTGTCATGATAATATTACATAGATTTATCGTTCAATATATAACTGGAAGAATATTTTTAGCTCATTATTTATTGTGTGAACAGTGTCTTTGCAATAGTGGGTTGATTTTTGTTATTTTAGTTGTAATATGATAAGTAACTTCTGCAGCTGGTTTCATTCTGCTATTTATTTGTTGTAGCTTAGCCTTTAAATGACACTGTATAGATATTTTTTTTAAAATACAGTAGTTTTATTATTATCATTTATCGCTATACTTCTCTGTAGTAATATATAGTGCGTCAAAATTAGTTATAGTGACAGACCTATATATGTCTAAGTGCTGCATTTGAAATTAGCCCTATCAACATTATATGGCATGTAGTGACCTAAATCTGTCTCCAACTGCATGCTGTAGGCAGTGGCAACAATAAACAAAGGACACAAGTGTGCAGTCTGAGCGACAACTTCCAGCAGGTGTTGCGTACAGTATTAACATGTAATGACTAAAAATTGTATGTGTAAGTAATCCAGGCTCCCATAGCTTCATTGATGTCACAGATTGCACGGTGCAGTTGCCGTTTGTGTGTGTGCATGGGGCAGGTGTGTAAATAGGCCAGTGGATGCAAAGTAGCAGCCAAAGCAGCTGTATTCAGAGTGGAGGGATCAAGGTCCACGTTTGCAGGTATGCAGCAGTCCAGCAATAACGCTTTTCAGATTAAACTGTGCACCGATGAACACTGCAAAATCACACTGCAAAAAAATCACACTCAGCTGCTCATTTTTCAGTTAGACGAATGCATCCAGACACCAGATGGAAAACGCAATGTTGTGCAATGTTGAAAGCATAGCGTAATTAATTGCATGCAGGGGCACAAAACCAGGCTTAAATGACTATCCCGGTTTAAGCCAAAAGAAATCACATAAATTGGATCAAATTTATACAAACTGATGAGTAAGCTCTCCAAACCTGAACAGAGATAGAGTAAATTTAGGCAACTTCACACACAAAAAAATCCTAAAGCAATAATAGTATTTTGTTGCAAAAGACAGATATGACTTTTTATACTATTATATTTTTTATACTAATAATAATAAAAGTTGCCATCATTGTAAGCGATTTGTGTCATTAACAGAGAAGTCGATAGTGTTGTTGTGGCACTAGTAAGTGAAACTTTATTTTGGTTTGATCCTCAATCTGCATTAGATACTATATTGATAATTAAAAATGTTACTTTTTAAAAATACAATAGCATTTTTTCAGTATCAATAGAGTGTCAAGTTTCAACATAGTTTCATTATTAGTATTTGGGTACTGATTCTTTTGACAATGCTACAAAGTCAAAATTTTCTCCTCCAGTTCTACAACAAGCTAAACAATAAAACAGTTTAAAACATGTACTACTTCCTTCTTAAACCATCATAAAAACATAAAAATTATTAAAATCAAGGGTTGTTTCTCTCTTAACATCTCATTCTTAATTTTAGATTAATGCAGTTTCAAAAAGTATATTTAAACATGAATTTGAGTGACAGTTAATTCAACAATAAGAAGCAGGCTGGGAGCTCATCATACTGATTTACAATACATGGACGACTTCCCAGGCAAGGTCACAAGCCAATGGACCACAAGGGCACCCACTCCACTTCATGCTCTCCCTGCATGCTTGTCGTTATGGTGCTCAGCAGACTGCTCATTGGCTAGTGGCTCTTCCAGGGGGCGGGACCAACTACATGATGAGGAAGTGAGTGCTTCAAAAGCTCAGCTGGGTTTGTTTACATTAAGCAGGCAGCAGCAGAGAGCAGCAGTGAGGAGTCAATTCATTCAACTTATTCACAAGCAGAGGATGAGGCTGGTAGATGTGATAAAAAAACAAGCACTGCTATGACCATTTTGTTAGAGCTACTTTTATAATTAAAATGCAAATTAGTTTTAGCAAGTAAATAAAAACCTACATCACTTTTCTGAAACAGCATTTGCAACATCTGCTTTTACTGTTTTTTTATTCTGTACTGACTGAATTTATAAATATTATGAACTGCACTGATTGTACAAGAGACTGCACTGCTGTTATCTGTCTGTCTCCGTCTATCTGACGTCTACGCACCTTGGACTGCGCAACCAAGAAAGATTTTCCCTACTGGGACAATAAACTTTATCTTATCGTAAACTCAGTGGTGGAGCATAATGAAGTAAAAGTAGTGAAATAATGTACTCAAGTATAAATTTTAGGTCTCTTTACTTAAGCACATTTGAAGTTGGATACTTTTTTACCTTTACTTTACTACATTTGAGAGCAGGCATCTGTACTTTCTACTCCACTACATTTTTGAACAGGACTGAAAAGTAAGTAGTAAAGCTTTTTGTTTTTTTTTTTAGATCTGTTAAAGGGCTGAGGGATTTTTAACACATTTGTAATTTAGGACAAACATAAATATAGAAATAAAAAGAGCTAGGAAAAAAAAAAAATCAATCAAAATCACAATATTTTAAGTTTTATTAGATCTCAAACTCATGCAAAATACTTTTACTTTTGAACTCTTTAAGTACATGGTACAGCTACTTTAATACTTTTACTTAATTAGATTGTTGATGTGATACTTTTACTTGAGTATTTTTTTTTGCTGTGGTATCTGTACTTTTACTTAAATAACAAAACTGAGTACTTCTTCACTGCTTAAACTACTACAGGAAACTACAGCCAACCAGATTGTTTCAGTGCAAGAACAGTACACAAATAAAAGCAATTACTGTATGTCTATGCATCATTTTGTGAAGTATCTCTACAAATGTCCCTTGTGAGATTGGGAATGTATGAGGAAAAATAACGTGCATACAGGCAAGCACGATAAATAATGTTGGAAGGATTACATCAGTGATACATAAATAAAATAAATCTCTTGTAAAAATAGTAGTATAGCATCAAATATAAGCTATAGTAGAAAGAGAATTAGGAAAAGAGCTGGGAAAGGGAACTATAAGTCTAATTTTATGTTTAGTTGCTTTTTCTAGAGCTGCTTAAATTACAGCCAATTAGGTTCACAATTAATTAGGTTATAATGACAATCCGTCACGAGTAATCAAAAATAATTAAACAGAAATTATTCTTAGCTGCATGTGTGGCGGCTTACGTACCAAACCTCAATCAAAACTTGATTAATTGCACAATTTTACAGCACCACCAGACCATGCGCCACAAACTAAGACAGGTGAATCTCTACAAGAACATTAACGAATAGCTCTCTCTGATGTCTGATTGTCTTCCACTGTGTTATGAAAGCACTAAAAGCTCTTCAAAGTTGATATTCCAATGCAAATGCACTGTACTCTCCATATGCTGAACCTGCCTCCTGCTTCGTACCCAAGTGTAGCTGTGAAAAGATGGAGTGAGAACTTACTTTTGAGACACAAATTAATACTTGATTGCGATGAAAAGATCACAAAGGAACAAAA